TTCATTTCCATCAAACGATGGGGCATCCTTATGTTCCTAACGCATTACCCATCCATATCAGTATACAGTATGTGCCTAGCTTAATTTCTTAATGCTTTCCTGTGGAACCACCTGTGCTGAGTATAGCCTGCCATATGAGTGAATGGCTGTACGCAGATGCGCTCTTGCAAACACCAATGCTTTTGTGCATCAGCTTCTACCTGCACATGCGTGTTTACAAGAGCACGACCACGTACAGTCTGCCATTCCAATGAATTATGGTATGCAACCATGCTCGTGTAAATGCCTATGCTTTCACGCTTGGAAAATACATTGGATGTGCACACGCTTCACAGGTTCTGAGAAATTGTGTTAGGCATATAAAATGTCTATAAAAACTTTGTATTCTAGACCCAAAATGGACTTTTAAGGTGCCCCTCTTGGGGCAACACTAAAGCTCATTTTGGGTCTAGAGTAGAAGGATTTATAATATGACCAGGATGTGGTGCCCCTACAAAAGCGCCCAGGGTATCCCGAAACTATAAAATCATGTCTATAAAAGCCCCATGTTCATGACCCCTAAATGGAAAAGGAGTGAGTGTAATGTACCTTTAAACATCCAGAGATGTCCATATAAATTCTCTTTATTGGCTCTGTATGAGCTTAAATAAAGTACCTTTAGAAGATAACGAGCAGGAATAGGTCAAATTCAGGTCAGGAAAAGTGATTTACAAAATGAAAAAGCCTAAGTATTCCACTCAATGCTCGCTACAGTAGTTTACAGCACATTTATGAGAACACGGTATGGAGACAGGATACAGACTATATCTACAACAATGGGCCAGATTGTTAATGCGATGTACTACTGACACGGGGAAGACAAAGACGCATTATATGGCTCTCTGGGACATTTACCAGAAACGATAACTCTTCCAACAGATGTGAAAGTGACTGAGCGCAGGGGAGAGATTAACTGTAGATTGGAATTCTAATGTAACCAGTCTAATGTACAGAGAAGGCAAAGAGCCTGGCAAGGAGTGGTAGTCCCAAAACAGCATGGCATACATGTCCCTTCCCAGAGGCTCCCAACACGTATCTAAAATAAAAGGATTTTTCCTAAATTTGAGGGGTGGAGAAGGAATTGCTGGCCATTCACAGTTTAATTTTTGCTTGAACATTTGAAGAAAAATTATATTGGAAGTCTAATGTAGATTGGACTTTTAATGTAACTAGCCTAATATACAGTACATAGAAGGCACAGAGCCTGTCAAGGAGTGGTGGTTGTGACGAACCGTCCCTTTGTGATAACATTTTGCCCTGTTTCAGTTTTCTCTCCTTTGTAAAGCGCTGTTATGTAGACAGATATTCTATACTGTTTAGGGAAATGTGACCTTGTAGTCTTTCACTTCTAAAAGAGTTCATACTGTATTGTTGGGTTGTAGGGTTTTGTTGTGGGTGGGGGAAACCCAGTGCCAAGCTGTCTGGTGGGGCTAAAGATGGCGGGGATTACTGCCAGGATGTGCTGTATATACTGAGCTGTGTTTAATAAAGATTGAGTCATTTTCACCCTACACGAAGTTCCAACTCGTGGTTTGGGGTAGCAGGGAAAGGATTGGTTTTGGGCTCTAATACCTGCCGTGGCAGAGCACTGGAAGACTTGCTAGAAAAGGGGACCATTGGGTGAGACGCATCACTCCGCATAAGGAAGCCCAGGCGGAACGGTTCTGCCACAGTGGTCCCAAAACTGCATGGCCCACATGTCTCTTCCTAAAGGTTCTCGACCCTTCCTTAAAATGAAACCCTAAATTTGAAGGGTGGGAAGATATGTTTTTCACTCAAATGTTTGTAAAAACAATTGTTCCCTGGAAGGTGAAGGTTGGAGTTCTAATGTAGACTGGAATTCTAATATAATCAGCCTAATGTACAGAGAAGGTAAAGAGCCATCATGGAGTGGTGGTCTCAAAACAGCATGGCCTACGAGTCCCTTCCAAGACGCTCTCTACACTTTCCGTAAAATTAAAATCTTTCCTAAATTTGAGGGGTGGCGAAGGTATGGATGGCCATACACAGCTTAATTTTCATTCGAACATTTGTAGAGAAATTGTTCATCGGAACATGCAGATTGCAATTCTAATGTAACCAGCCTACTGTACAGAGAAGGCAAAGAGCCCAGCATGGAGTGGTGGTCCCAAAACAGCATGGCCTACAAGTCCATTCCAAGAGGCTCTCAACACTTCCCTAAAATTAAAGCCTTTCCTAAATTTGAGGGGTGGAGAAGGTATGGATGGCCATACACAGCTTAATTTTCATTCGAACATCTGTAGAAAAATTGTTCATCGGAACACGCAGATTGTAATTCTAATGTAACTAGCATAATGTACAGAGAAGGCAAAGAGCCCAGCATGGAGTGGTGGTCCCAAAACAGCATGGCCTACAAGTCCCTTCCGAGAGGCTCTCAACACTTCCCTAAAATTAAAGTCTTTTCTAAATTTGAGGGGTGGAGAAGGTATGGATGGCCATACACAGCTTAATTTTCATTCGAACATTTGTAGAAAAATTGTTCATCGGAACATGCAAATTGGTATTCTAATGTTACCAGCCTAATATACATAAAATGCAAAGAGCCTGTCAAGGAGCGGTGGTCCTAAAACAGCATGGCCTACATGTCCCTTCCCAGAGGCTCCCAACACTTCCCTAAAATGAAAGCCTGTCCTAAATTTGAGGGGTGGAAAATGTTTGGCTGGCCATACACAGTTTGATTTTCAAACGAACCTTTATAGAAAAATTGTTCAGAACATTCTTTCTTACCATCATTGAGCCAACTAATTTCATAGAAAGCCTAAGCTGACTTCAATTTGTTTTTTATTACAAAAAAAAAAAAAAATCAGCGCAAGGTGTGTACTAACATTTAATGAGAAGTGCCCATTGTGCTGGTGGCTGCTCTCTTAGTAGAAATCTTCGTTTCTCTGTGATCTTCCATTGCTTCGGGGGGGTTAACGTGGAACTACACTGCATCTGGGCACCATAAACCAAAACGCTATTTTTCTCATTTTTAATATTCAAAACAAACTCACTATTCCATTTATGTCTCCATGTCTTATTTTGCTGTAAAACACCCCCTAGGATTTCTGCCTATGGCCATCTTGAGCAAGGGCAGTTGATTCATGTAGCATTTACATCCATGAATCCATCTCAGACATGCAGACAGGAGGGTGTTCTTGGCTGAGAAAGTCCCTCCTCCCCTCCCAGGGGCGTTCCTAGGGTTGGTGTCCCCCGTTGCGATAACACTTGGTGACACCCCCTTCACAACAATCCCCGCAGAATGGATCGGATCTGCGGATTGAGCACAATGGATCGGACTCCGATCCATTATGCTCCCCAATCCGCAGATCCGATCCATCCTGCGGGGATCGCCGGATGTCTCTACAACTTACCTTTTCATGGAGAGGGTCCCGTGTCCCCTTGTATAGGTTGCATGCCGACGATTTCTGCAGGATGGATCGGATCTGCAGATTGAGCATAAAGGTTCAGAGTCCGATCCATTATGCTCCCCAATCCGCAGATCCGATCCATCCTGCGGGGATCATCGGGTGTCTTTATAACTTACCTTTTCGTGGAGCGGGTCTGGTGTCACCCCGTATACGATGCAAGCTGACGATTCCTGCAGGATGGTTCGGATCTGCGGATTGAGCATAAAGGATCGGAGTATGATCCATTATGCTCCCCAGTTTGCAGATCCAATCCATCTTGCGGGGATCATCAGCATGCATCCTATACGGGGTGACACCATGAAAAGGTAAGTTGTAAAGATATCCGATGATCCCCGCAGGATGGATCGGATCTGCGGATTGAGCATAAAGGATCGGAGTTCGATCCATTATGCTCCCCAATTTTCAGATCCAATCCATCCTGCGGGGATCGTCAGCATGCATCCGGACCCGCTCCACGAAAAGGTAAGTTATAAAGAAAGCTGACGATCCCTGCAGGATGGATCGGATCCATCCTGCGGGGATCATCGTCTTGTTTTACAACTTACCTTTTTGTGGAGCGCGTCCGGTGTCACCCCGTGCAGTAGGTGTCACCCGCTGTGGGCCGCATCCCCCGCACCTGCCTCGGGACGCCACGGTCCCTTCCTGAAGACTCCTGAGATGTATGCCATTTTTTGCCTAGGCCAGAAACCAGGAAGTAACTGATGAAATCTTAAAAAAAAAACCCTATAAACCAAGTAACTATGATATACTTTCCTATCTATTTGCTAATGGTGACAGCATGAGGATTGAAAACTGTCCATACTGATTGAGAGAGTGAAGGTACGCTTTATTACAAGCCGTTGGACCTGTCATAGCCACCTGCGAGGAGTGCTGACTATGCCCCCCATTTTTGCCACCCTCTTTCATAGAAGCTTCCTGCAATGAAAAAGCTGTGTGAATGGAGGAGGTGAACCTTTCAGTCATCCACCCATCCTCACTTTATTCCTCATTCCGCTGTCTCTTTCATATCTGGCAGGAGGGATGAGGAGCAGGTCAGCCCTCATAACCAGGGTTAGAAAGCACTGAGCAACATGAGACAAAGTACGAGGTGTGACAACTTAGTTCCCGGAATAGACTGTATAAAGAAAAAAAAATGCTTACCTATACACTGGCGGCTTCTGTCACCTTCAGAGTAGTCCCCTTGTGAAGCGATGCACTCTTCTAGATGACTGTGCCACTGCAGGAAACATTCCCGGAATTAATTTCTAGAATGCTGTGCGGTATCTTTGTCGGGGCACGCTGGATATCAGGAATTGTCATCAAATCTGTGCCCTTTTTAACCACCTCCCATCTGGCCGCTGTATATAAACGGCCGGACGGTGGCAGTGCAGGGTCGGGTGGCCATTTATAAACGGCCTCCCCGCCCCCTGCTTGTGTGCGCTCCCTGGGAGCGCGCAGCACCACAATCCAATGCCCGCTGTGTCCTCCGGACACAGTTGAACACCGATCGTCGGACAGGACCTCTGTGCGAGGTCCCGATCATGTGATCACATGCAGAGTAGTAAGCATGATGTCACTTCTGACATCATTGCTTACTATGTGTGAAATCTGTGAATGATCACAGAGGTCACATGGTCCAAGGCTATTCACAACAGCCTTGTACCATGTGACAAGCTGTGACCAATCACAGCTCACTCAGTAGTTCTCAAAGGCTGCAAGAATGCAGCTATAGAGAAGGAGAAATGATTGCTTTTACAGCCTTTATGGGTGTAAAAGCAATCAGTGTAAAAAAAAAAAATCTTCATCACCCCCCACAAGTATGGTGACACTGCACTGCTAGGGTGACAGTATGTAAACAAATAATAATAAATAAATAAAAAATAATATTTAAAAAAATGTAAAAAAATGTTTAAAAATTATAATTTTTGGTTATAAACTAATTTGGGTTATTTATTTTTTACTAAAAATATAACAGAATAAATTATGGCCAAGATTTATGATGAAATACTATTTATTTGCAAAATTTTATAAGAAAAACACTTTTTTTCAAAATGTTTGGACTTTTTCATTTACATAGCAAAAAACATAAAAATCCCAGTGGTGCATAAATACCACCAAAATAAAGCTTTATCTGTCTCAAAAAAATGCTAAAAAATTCATATGGATACAGTGTTGCATGACCGCGCAATTGTCATTCACAGTGTGATAGCGCTGAAAACTGAAAATTGGCCTGGACAGGAAGGGGGTAAAAGTGTTTGGACTGGAAGTGGTTAAAACACTTTCAAATTTTGGAAACAGACAAAAGTCAAAGGGTGCTAAGTCAGGGGTATCAGTTGGTCAAGTTTCAGAATGGATTTCTGGGCCAGGAACTTGCAAACACTAAACATGTTTGCAAATTCCTGGCCCTGTGCAGGAGCATTGTCGTGGTGGGGAATCCACTTGTCAGGCCAGATATTGAGATTCCTGTAAACCTTTTCAGAATTTCCAAATAACAATGTTGGTTGACCGTTCTTGTGTCATTTTGGACATCTTTGTGTCCCCCCTTAAAGGATAAGTTCACCTTTGGAGCATGTTACATATTCCACCTGTTTTTTCCACCCATAGGACACAGCGACCACCGACAGTGCCGAGTACGCACCGCTGGGGGCACGCGGGAGGGCGCGTTCTGGGAGGACATCATATAACGTCCTCCCAGGACAACCGCGCTGTAGCAATGATTCGACTATAGCGCGGTTGTCACGTGGTTAGACTGCCTATGCCATTCAAGAACATTTGATTTCTTCCTGGAATGTTCACCATAAGCCTGATGTCACAGAGCTAAAGTGTCATTCGCATGTTTACCGATTTTGTTGTTAACCAATTCAGTACCGGGCAATTATACACCTTCCCGCCCAGGCTCTCACCCTTTGAATGACAATTGCGCGGTCATACAACACTGTACCCAAACTAAAATGTTATCATTTTCTTCACACAACTAGAGCTTTCTTTTGATGGTATTTAATCACCGCTGGGGTTTTTATTTTTTGCTAAATTAACAAAAAAAAAAAAACGTTTTTCTTTGTTTCTGTTATAAAAGTTTACAAATAAATAATTGTTCTTCATAAATTTAGGCCGAGATGTATTCTGCTACATGTCTTTGGTGAAAATAACCCAAATTAGGATGTATTATTTAGTTTGTAGGAAAGTTATAGAGTTCACAAACTATGGTACAGATCTGAATATTGATCAATCCTGAAGTACTGACAGCCAATCTAATTTCTTGAGGTCCCAGAATGTCAGAATAGTACAGATATCCCACAAATGACCCCTTTTTGCAGAGTAGACAGTCCGACGTACTTCATAAGAGGAATGGCGAGTTTTTTGAAGTTGTATTTTTTTTGTCATATTTTTTCAGAAAATGAAAAAATAAAAATTATTTTCACTATTTTTTTACATTCTGTCACCAGTGCAGTACAGCGTCATCATATAACTGGCATGGCGGTGATCAGGGACACGGACTGGTGACAGTGTGAAAAAAAAATATATATATTTATTTTAATTTTTGTTTTAATTTTTTTATTATTTTACATTTTTTATTACGTTTTTTTTCTTTATTTTAAGATTTTTTTTTCATATTTCACTATGTCCAAAGTAGTACAATGTTACCATAGTAATATTGTACTACTTTGGGGAAGTGATCAGTATTTTTTTTTTTTTTCTTTACACAATTTGCTTATAGCAAAGAATTACTTTGCTATAAGCAAGCATTTACCTGAATGACATCGATTCATTTAGGGTTTTTTTTCTTTTTTTGTGCTTAGCTGTGATTTGGCCACAGCTAGTCACATGACATGCGCATGTGATTAGCTGTGACCATTCACAGCTAGACACTAGTATACAATGGATGGCATGAATGAAGCCATCCATTGTATACAACTGTCATGTGACCTGCTGTGATTGGTCACAGCAGGTCACATGGTACCAGCAATGGGGCCGATACTCAGATCTGTCATCGGCTGTGTCCGAGGTACACGGCCGGTGACAGATCGTGCCGCTGCGCGGCTCTGCAAACGCGCAAACTGCGCATGTGCGGGAGTACACCATATGGCGGCCTCCCGGAAAGCTAGTACATTTTTGCGGACGCCATACGGCTATTGCCCGGGCGTCAAATGGTTAATCTGCGGCTCCCGTTTCCTGTCACCCATTTTCAGCCCACATATGTTATTTCTTCTACTACTCCATAAAGACCGAGTCCACTGGTCTGTGACCCAGGCGAGTGCGATGCAAGTCAGAACACACTTGAGTGCGAATCCCTGTGTGCCTCACCACCATAACCATGTACTTTGTCCCACAGAGGGCAGAACTGTCAAATAAAAATCATAATGATAGATCTTCTGTAACCATTGCAGAGGGGGTTACCGGCGAGGGTAATATATTTTTTCGTTACTGGTCCGGAGTTGGGCTTTAACATTCGATGCTTGTGTTTAGTAGACACGTGGGGGGGATATGAGGTCTGTCACTGTGTGTGGGCTCAGTATAAATTCGATCAGCTTTTTGGCTGATGTTTTCCAGTGATCCATTTTCCCTTCCGGACACACTTGAAAGCCACACACGTGAAAGAGCGCCGACACCCAAGACTGCAATCCCGCGGCCTCTGCGGTTGGGACGTTGCCAGTGGCTCTTTTGTATCCACGCTGAGTCATTGTTTCGCTTTGATTTAGTTTTCCTGATTCATGCGACACACCTGGATACAAAGTCTCCTCTCTACAAACACATAACCGAACGCTCCCTTGTACTTGGCATGTCTTCCAACCGTTCCAAGTGCCGAACTCTCTCCATGACACGTGGAGGACTGCTCAGAAATTGGCTTTAACCTCTTCCTGCCAGTCATATGTATATCGGCGTCTGCTAGGAACACTGACAGAGCTCATACCCCCCCCCCCTCACCTGTCTACTAAACACAAGCATTGAATTATTACACAGTATTTATATAGCGCCAAAGGGTTTGCTCAGCGCTGTACATTATAGTGGGGGACAGTACATGAGACAATACAGTAACAATACAATACACGAGGGGTTCGAGGGCCCTGCTCTTTCGAGCTTACAATCTAGGAGGGAGGGGATAGTGGTACAGGAGGAGGTGGCTGTGGGGATGGAGTGGTAGGAAGAGTGGAGGAGATCGGCTGTTAGGTGAGGGTGGGGTAGGCTTCCCTGAAGAGATGGGTTTTCAGGGTGCACCTGAAGGTGAGGAGGGTAGGTGACAGTCTGATGGATTGGGGTAGAGAGTTCCAGAGGATGGGGGAAGTCCTAGAGAAGTCCTGCAATCAGGCGTGGGAGGAGGAGACCAGGAGGAGAGTAGGAGGTCTTGTGAGGAGCGAAGAGTACGGGTTCGGTGGTATTTGGGTATCAGGTCGGTGAGGTAGTAATTAAATCCCAACTCTGGGCCAGTAACAAAAAAAATATTACCCTCGCCGATTACCCCCTCTGCAAGGCGGGTCAGCCGTAAAATGGTTGTAAAATGAAATATGAACAAAGCATCCCACATGGAAGAGAAATATATTTACAATATATTTAGAAATAAAAATGATATATGTGACATATTTACAATATATTGGCCTACACTAATATATTTTAACATTTATTTTAAAAAATGTAAATTTAAATATATTTTCTAAAGGCATATATTTAAAAATATATATTTTTAAATATATTCTTCAGATTTTTTTGTAACATAAAAAAAGTCATTTTAACATGTATTTTTTATACATATCTGTAAATGCATTCCAAAAATGTAGATTAAATGTATTTTCAAAGACATATAGTCAAAAAAATTTTTTAGAAATATTTTTTCAGATTTCTTTTATATAAAAAACGCATACAATATATATACACAGAGGCCTGTAATTGGCATCATAGGTAGACCTCAACTATGAGAGACAAAATGAGAAAAAAAATCCAATCACATTGGCTGATTTGGAAAGAATTTATTTGCAAATTATGGTGGAAAATAAGTATTTGGTCACCTACAAACAAGCAAGATTTCTGGCTCTCACAGACCTGTACCTTCTTCTTTAACCTCTTGCAGACCGCGCATAGCCGAATGACGGCTTCACCGCGGCCGGCCAGTTCTGAGTGGATGTCATATGACGTCCTCCCAGAACGCGCTCTCCTGCGCTCCCCAGGGGGCGCGCACCCGGCGATCTCCGTGATCGCTGTGTCCTACGGACACAGCTGATCACGTGATGTGGTGAAAGGCCGATCCCACCGGCCTTTTACCACGTGATCAGCGGTGTCCAATGACACGCTGATCACAGGGAAATGCAAGTGCCGGTTCTCGGCTGCACTTTCCTCACGCTGTCAGATCGTGAGGAAAGTACTGCCGAGAACCGGCAGTTGTCAGAGGCGGGGATCGGCACCGATCATCAGGGCACTGATGATCAGTGCCCTGATGATCGGTGCCCAGCAGTGACACCCGCAAGTTCCGCCCAGCAGTGCGCCCACTAGCCCCGCCCACCCGTTCCCAGCAGTGCCCCCACCTGTGCCCAGCAGTGCCCCCACCTGTGCCCAGCAGTGCACCCACCTGTGCCACTCTGCAGTGCCACCTACCTGTGCCCAGAAGTGCCACCTACATGTGCCCAGCAGTGCCACCCACCTGTGCCCACCCACCTGTGCCCACCAGTGCCACCCACCTGTGCCACCAGTGCCACCCACCTGTGCCCACCCACCAGTGCTGCCCACCAGTGCCACCCACCAGTGCAGCCCAGCAGTGCTGCCAGTCAGTGCCACCAGTCAGTGCCCAGGGGTTGTGCCAGTC